AAAGGATTCTATGATTCTATGAAAATTTTTCAAGGTGGAATTTTGAACCTGGGGGAAAAAAATGCACTTGACAACTACATTAAATAGGAATTTTTGTTTTGGTAGTGTTTTGTTTTGCAGCCATGAAGCTGACTTCTGGCTGCTTATTCTGGCCCTTGTGATGCAGTTTGCTTTCTCCCTCCATCCATAAAGCTGTTGCAGCTCTAGGGAGGAGGGGCACGGGGAGCTGCATTTGTAACTGAATTAAAAATACAATCCAGAGGAAAAAAACTTAAAATTATAGGGTAGTTTTAAACTGATTTGTTAAAACAATCCATAGTCTTGCTGTGCTTTTCTTTCTGTTATGAAAGTGGAAGAAAATCTACAATATTTGTAGGTGTACCAGATAAATTAAGAGAACAATAATTACAGAAAGTCATTTTTTTTTCATAATAGAGTTTATTATATTCTTCCGCTTTAGATTCCTTCTAGAACACAGTTGACTTTTACCTGCAAAATAGTCCAAGAACATTCATTTTAAATTTTTCAGGCTCTGAAACGCCTGTAACCAGAGCGTAGGGGACTAGGATTGCAGCAGCTAAACTGAATTGCTAAGAATTCTGTAAAATAACAAGTTGTCTCTAAAAATTAAACCTTTTTTCTTTCAAAACTATAGGCTTTAGTTGTATCTAAACAAGTTTATTAGGTGAGAATCTATTAAATATGGAACTTTTACATTTTAATACCATGTCCCTTTAGAATAACTAGCAAAGCGGCATCAATTGTAATGCTGTTTGCAGAGTGGATTTTTTTCAGGCTATTAATTCCTTTTAATATATGTTACCTTTGGCAGCCTGTTTGAACTGTGTGTACCGTTTGTATGTACAGTGTATCAGATTAAATTCCTTTGAAGGCACTTGGGTTACAACAGTTACAGTTATACCAAAGTGGTGTTTAGAGAAAACACAGATAGGCATTGAAATAGACTTTTTACTGTACTAGACTTTCAAAACAGAGGCAAGTAATTAGTCTCCCCTGCATTAGGGAAGGACAAGCAGCTATAATGTGTGGTGTTGCTGCTGGTTATATAGCGAGGTTTACTTGGAACACTGACTTTAATTAAATATCCTGCCTTCATTATAACAAGTACATAGAGTTTTGGTTGCAGGAAACCAGTAGCTCTTCAAAAATAAAGACCTTATGAAATTGGAGGTCATCTCCAGTGCTATTTTTTAAAAAGATGATACTTTCGTGATTCCTTGAAATACTTTGTTATAATGACATATAGTAAAGCCGTTTAGAGTTCACATAGTTGTAATGTGTTAGTCCTCTTTTCTTATACCATATGTAACAAAATGAAAATCTGCTTTATGTGCTGGTGTAGTGTTTAGGAAGTGATTGAGTCATCAGTTAATTTGCCACCCCCCACAACACCCCCTGCCCGCTCCCCCCTGAAATCATAATGCCCAAACTTCTGTTTAGCCACTTGTAAAAGTGGCTTAATTACACTTACGAACAGTGTATTTTGACAATTAATGAGTAGAAACAGTCCTCATTATATTTTATTGTACTTAAAACATTGTTAGGTTGTTAGCAGGGGTTCTCTGTAAACTCTGGCTGATGCATTTCTCTTGATGTAACAGTGCAGTCCTCTTTCAGGACATTAAGCTTTGTTTAAAAATAAATAGATGAACTAGTGCTTTAACCTTCCAAATGCAGAGCAGAAAGACAACTTGTACCTTAGTATCTGCACAAACCCTTTAAGTCATGCTGTAGTCAGGCACGTTGGTCAGTCTGTCTTGACCTTGTTAACACTGGTAAGAAGCAAACTATAATGGTTGCTGCTAAGCTGAGCTTTATTGAATTTTGGTAACAGAAATAGTAGCATGTTATCTTGGTATATGTGTCCTACTTCAGTGTTGTTAATTTATTTTCTTCAACAAAATAGTATTATATTGAAAATAGTGTTTTTCTGGGTTATTTAAGATGACTTGACTTTAAATGTCAGTTTTGCTAAGGCGATGATGACATTTAGCTGTCCACTGCCTTAGAATGGTATGGACAGAACTGGAACTATATAGTGTGATGTTTAAAAGTGGCTTCCCATCTGGCAGCTGCCAGTTTTCTGGCAAAGGAGTCTGTTCTGGGTGGTGTTACCATGCTCTGTCTCAGCTTCCAACATCAGGGACATAAATCCCACAATTTCATGAGCTTCCATGAGCTTTGTGTGACCTTCTACCTGTTCTAGCTGGGAGAATGTAATGTAGTCACTAGCCCTTCATCAGGAGTTCTTCCATTGTTTTTCCTCCTTTTGCCTGCAGTTTTCTTTACTGTGGCTTGCTCCAGTGGTGCAACTGTGTGCTTAAATGCAAACTCTTTTTAAGTAAAAGGAAGTACCAAGAAAAATAGAAGTTATTTTTATTTTCTAAGTTAGGCATTTGATGGTTAGTTTGCAGAAAGGAGACGGGCAAAAGATGTGAAATAGAGCTTTGTTTGTCTTATAGTCCAAAGTCTTTGGTAGTCTTTGTAACTGAATGTTTGTGGAAAAACAAACTCCTTATTAACTCTTCACTATTATATTAACTGTGTAACATGTTTCAAGGTTTATATATTCATTGTGTATATTTTTATATATTTGAAGTGTATGTGTAATATTTTAGGGAAGAGAAGAAATCTAGTGACCATATTACAGCATTAATTCAGGTAGCATGTTGTAGTTCTGAAGATACGCACTCTTAAATTACATTAATTTGTGACTTTTTTTTTAAAAGAATAATATTCAGGCATCAGAAGCTCTTAAAAATGAAATCGATGATTTGAAGAAGAAGCATGATGAGGCTGCCTCAAAAGTTCTCCAGCTTGAAGAAGATATCATGACTGTTACTCAAAAAGCCATTGCTAAAGAAACAGAGTTAGACAGGTATTTCGTAATTTTGTTCCTTATCTTCCTTATTTTACTATTTCTTTCCATAGGTGTTTTTTTTAAACTAACAATTCTTAATGTATCATTTTCTGTATGAATAGTTCTGTACTATTAATTTGTTAATGTCTTAGTCTGAAGGACAAAATGAAGAAAGTGATACTTGAGAAGGAACAACTTGAATGTGTGTTAAAGACAGAAAAGGATGAAAAAGAACTTTATAAGGTAACTTTATTCTTGTACCTGTATACTCTAAAATGAAGTAGTTTGAAATAAAGGTAATAGTGTTTTATGGAGGAATCTGATAAATTGCATTTGTTAAGGGAAAAAGGAAATGGGTAACTTCTGTGAAAAGATTTTATGATGGTTATAGATGTTCTCATAAAAAATGAATGAGCAAAATAGCATCTGAATTCATCCCATGATGTACAAAAGGTCTCTGGGGAGGAGAATGGATGACCAATTTCTTAAAATGCAGGCATAGTAACAAAACATAATAGATGCTAGTGAGGAAATCCTTTATAGTTACACAGTTCATCACCCAGTAACTGATTTTAACACACTTTTTAATAGGAGAATTACTTTGTACTCTTGTCTATCCAGACTGTGTTTTCTAGATCCCTATTCTTCAGTCTTGTGCATAACTCTGAGAAGCTTTAGTAGGTTCTATGTTGTATTGACTTTCTTTTTTTTTACTAGCATAGCTGATTTCTTTTGCTGATATTGAGAGATAGCCATATTTAAAGTAAAATACAGTGCCCTGCCTCCCCACAAAAATGGCAAAAAAAGTTTATATGCTAAAATAATGAAATCCTTAGGTTGTATGAAACAAGTCAAGTGTATTTCAAATATTTCTGTTCATAGGAAAATATAATTGTGGCATGTAGTATTAGGTGTACACTTGAAGTCATAAACTCTCAAACCATCTTTCATAAGCATAGAATCCCTGAGCAAATAAGCAACACAAATCTAGTCTTTGAGTGGACAACTTTAATCCTTTATTTGGCGTAATATGATAAACTTGACATTTTAAAAACAGCTCTAGAGTTGTTAAAATTTACTGTCTTTGGAAATTAATATTGCTGAGGTAATAGTCTTTGCTTAGATGATTGCAAGTAGGTACTACTAGAATTTTAATTTTTTCTCCTCAGTTTTCTTCAAGTCCTTAGCTGTCCAGCATTTGTGCAGAGAGGATTTGAATTCTGAATAGTGGAATTTTGATGTGGACAGAAATCAGGGCCGTATCTTCTAGGTGTGTGTAGAGTGGAGCTGTTGTTAGATGTTCAAGCTGATAGAATTCCAGCCAGGAAATTTGTGCTGGAGGGCACTGATATTATCAGTCATTTAATTTTTCTCATCTGATCACTCTCAGAGATGTTAGAACTTGGTGAACACTCAACTACTGTTCACCTGTTCATTTTTCATAACGTGGAAGAAGAGTTTGACGTTTTTTAGCATCATTACAGATACACTTGAAGAATACAGAAATAGAAAACACCAAACTAGTAAAAGAAATCCAGACGTTTAAGAATTTGGATGCAAACAAAGAAAAAATGATATCGTATTATAAAGAGGAGGTTGGCAGATTGCAGCTATTTATAGCTGAGAAAGAAAATACGAAGAAAGCTTTTTTGCTCTCCTCATCAAACAAGGTAAGCATTACTAATATAATTAGCCTGGTTTAAAATAAACATATCTAGGGTTGCCTGTGTTATCACCATAAAGATACCACCAGGCTGAGTATTATGGCATTCTCAGTAGATGCAGAAAATGAGCAAAACAGTGAATTTGGTTTGTTTTGCACATTCTGAGCTTATTGAGGTCTCTCACATGATGAACTGTGAGATGCACTCTGTGTGCAAAAGTAATTTGTGAGTTCAGCAAAAGTGCATCAGTGCAAGTGGTGCACCGCTTTGACTTGCTTTTAACTTCATGGAAAAGGAAGGAAATTGAGGCAAAGTTGTTAGTAATGTAGCTATGTTGAGACTGTGGAGAGTGGTGGAGGAGAAAAGAGGAGACATCAGATATGCTGTAGGCCTTGTTAGATACAATGATGTAAAACCTGAGAAAGGATAAGGTACCATGTAAATGGACTGAATTGATGGAAAGCTCAGCAATAAGAGTTGCCACTAGGACTTCTAAGGAAGAGGTGACTTCTGCTATGCAGTGTGGTAGCATTGTTGTTAGCAGTCAATGTGTAGGAGAGTGGAATTGCTGAGGAACTGTATCCGTACTGTCCATGGCCCAGGTGGGGTTACTTCAAACTACTTCAGTTTTAGTGTGGTGCTATGGATAGATCTGTTTGGTTTGCATGGCAAGGTTTTGGTAGCTGGTGGGCTACAGGGGTGGCTTCTGTGAGAAGCTTCTGGAAGCTTCCGCTCTGTCTGATAGAGCCAATGCCAGCCAGCTCCAAGACAGACCTGCCTCCGGCCAAGGCCAAGCCTGTCAGTGACAGTGGTAGTGCCTCTGTGACAAGATAAGAAGAGGGGAGAAAAACCCCTGTGCAAGACACCAAGGTCAGTGAAGGAGGTGGAGGAGGGGCTCCAGGTGCCAGAGCAGAGATTCCCCTGCAGCCCATGGTGAAGACCATGGTGAGGCAGGCTGTACCCCTGCAGCCCAAGGAGGACTCCATGCTGGAGCAGGTGGATACCCAAAGGATGTTGTGACCCCAGCGGAAGCCCTCACTAGAGCAGGCTTCTGGCAAGACCTGTGGCCCTGTGGGGAGAGAAGAGCCCACTCTGTGATGGGTTTGCTGGCAGGATTTGTGACCCTGTGGGGGATCCATGATGGAGCAATCTATTCATGAAGGACTACAGCCTGGGGAAGGGACCCACAGTGGAGCAGTATGTGAAGAATTGTAGCCTGTGGAAGTGTTCATATTGGAGAAGACCATGGAGGACTGTTTCCCTTGGGAGGGACCCCAACTGGAGCAGGGGAAGAGTGTGAGGAGTCTTTCCTCTGAGGAGGAAGGGGTCACAGAGACAACATGTGGTGACTGACTGCAACCCCTGTTCCTCATCCCCCTGCACCACTGGTAGGGAAGTGGTAGAGAAAACTGGGAGTGAAGTTGAGCCTGAGAAGAAGGGATCAGGGAAGGGGAAATTGTTTTTAAGAATTGGTTTTATTTCTCATTATCCTACTTTGATTTGATTGGTGGTAAATTAATTTTTTCCCCAAGCTGAGTCTGTTTTGCCCATGATGAGTAGCAGGTGAATGGTCTCTCCTTCTCCTTATCTTGACCCACAAGCCTCTCATTATATTTTCTCTCCCCTGTCCAGTTGAGGGGCAAGAGTGATGAAGCAGCTTTGGTGGGCAGCTGGCATCCAGCCTGGGTCAACCCACCACAGTAGAGTACCCAGTAGGTGTTTGTTCCCAAGGTACATTTTCCTGTCCCCTTTCATCTGAAAGGGATGTGGTTTCTGTGCTCGGAGGTTGTTCTGTCCTGTGATCTACAGTGTGATAGGTAATAGTGGAATTGACTGGGAGTTTTCCTTCAAAAATATGCTCCTGGACCTAACTAGAGAATTAATTTAGACACGGCCTTTGAGGCCAGCGTGGAAAAGTCAGATTATGCAGGTAACTTTGTCTTGTGTAACTTGCTAGTGTTCTCACAAAAAAGCAATCTACACCTCAAAAGAATAGAAACCGCATTAATGTGAGTTTTAAATGTAAAGTTTAAGTAGAAAAGTAATGCTGTCGAGAATGGAAATAGCAAGAGGACAGAAAGAACATGCTGTCTTGCTTTAAATTACAGCTTATCCTGCTTTAGTCTTTTGACTGCTCCGCAGTTTTCTTCCTGGATTTTAAGCTGTGTGTTTTACTCCTGTGTTTTACGTGGAAGTAAAAACATGTAGGGGGTATGTGTGCACCAGTCAGTACTGAAACAACCAAATATTTACATCATTTATTAATCTTATGATGTTTCCAGTAGGATTGTTCCACTGTGAAACTGCAGATATTTACTAAAATATGTAATGGATGCATTGTGCTGTAAAAATAGCTAAGGGGCAGAACTTCAGGGCATTTCCTAGGCTCTCCATGTTCATAAATTCTTACAAAATATATTGGTATTCCTCTAGACTTCCTATGCTAAGTGTATATCCAAAAATTAACGAATAATGGATTAGAGATGCCTGAGTTTGTCTAGACTCAAGAATATGAGATGATTATGCCTTCAGGAAGCCCAGAGGCTGTGAGTAGCTTATAGTAGCTTTGAGTTTTCGTTTTATTTTTGTGATTCTGGACTTCTCTGAGGACCAAGAGGCCAGTAGTGCAGCACGCTGCGGCTTGCTCTTCATTACTTTTTGTTCTCTGTTCCTTCTGACAAGCTTGCTGTGCAAGATCTTGGGAAATGGAGCTGTGAGAAAAACATCCCAAAGTTGCTTTGCAGTGTATTACATCAAGGAGTTGTAGGCATTGTAAGACCTCTTACTCTGTTTTTACCTGCAGTGGGATGAACTTTGGTTTTGAAGCTGGATGCCTGTTTGTGCCCATTAGAGTTCTACAGTGATAAGAGCAAAGAAGTTGTGGAAGTTGGAAAGACTTTCTTTTTGCGTATGTTTAAAGCTAAAGCTGAAAATACAAAAAAAAAAAAAATAAATCCAGTACAGATAAAATATTTAAATTTGCCTTGATGTTGTAGTGAAATAGGTTTGCACACCACAGCTAGCAAAGAAGGCAAATGGGGGAAGTGATACTTGTGTACTACCTTCTTCATTTAGAGCTTTTGCCAAAGCCACCAGGAAAACTTGATTTTTCTTTCAAGTATTTCTAATCCCTATTACCAACCTCTGTTTACGCTTTGAATTAAAAAATGGCGGATTCTTTTCTCTCTTACCTTTCCTAGGAGGATGCAAGTGTTTTAAAAGAACAGCTTCGGAAAGCTGAAGATCAGATTCAGGCTAGCAGACAGGAGGCTCTCCTAATGTCAAAGGAGCTGAGTGACGCAGTGAACGTGCGGGACAGGACGATGGCCGATCTCCACAGTGTGCGTCTGGAGGCCGAAAAACTGAAAAAGCAGCTGGCTGATGCTTTAGCTGAACTTAAGAAAAGCACAGCTTTGAAAAATGAACAGGTAAGTTGTCAGTATTTAGTATTGCAGTTTATTTGTATTTATAATAAAGTCTGTCACAGCTGGCTTTGTTGGAGTTGGGGAATAAAATGTGTTCTGGATGGTTAGTAAGAGTTATCAAATTATCTTTTGGCACTCAAGATTTTATCTTAAATCAAGTGCATCTGATTTGCAAGGCTGGTAAGGAAGGTTTCTGCTACTTCTTGTAGCAAGTCCCCTCCACCTCTACATTTTTTTCACAGAATAATAGTCTTTACCTATATTATTTCAAATCCCCTCCCTATCTTAATTCTTTCATCTGAGCCACAGGAGCACTAAAAATTTATTCAGATAAGAAAATGTATTGGTAGAATTTTCTTTATAATATTCTCTCCTCATTGATGGATTCCGTCTTTATTCTTATGAATCCTTGCAGTATTTGTTGTCAAAGTTACATTAATATTTGATATGTATAAATATTACACTAATAGAAACTGTCTTGACTGGCTTTGTCTTGGGTAAAAGTATAGTGAGCTAATATAAGCTTTGTCATTCTGACTTAAGTGAGCTTTGAACCAGATCTGTGACTGCAAGTGCGTTGGATTAATTCACTACTAGGATTACTGTAATGGTGTAGCAGTTTGAAAAAATACCTTGAGCTGATTAAATTAGTGCAGTAAATACAAAGTGCACAATACAATCCCAACAATAACTATTATATTTAAAATATCCAAGAATCACATGTTAAACTTCAGTTACATAGAACGCCTTTGATATGCGTCCTGAGAGCAGTAGCACATATCTGAATGACTCAGGTAACCAGCAAGTATCTGAGTATTGTGTATATCCAGTTGGTTTGCTTAGCTCATGTACCAGTGTGACAGCTCAGCTGAACCACTTCCAGGAGAAACAGTGGGTGTGATGGAATATAGTTGTGGTCTGTCCACTTTTGCCATGTGGCTGTACTTGTCTATAAGATAGATGGCACACTTCTGGAAGAGTTCAGTCTTTAGGTATACATTAATCAGCCCATAGAATAAGAAATCCCATTTACACCTGCCTCTGGCATTACACCAGGGCCTATTTATTCCTTCAATGTGTCCTGCCTGGAATGGAGTTCAGCACAGGTGCTGCCTCTCTCTGCTCTACTGCTCTATTCCTTTCCTTCACACAAAGAAAACAGGAACTACTTCTGTACTTACATAGAGCATTATGCTTTCTTTAATTGAAAAAAGACTTTGGGAAATATGGTATTTGAAGAAAAGGGAGAACAGTTTCTGAGGGAAATCTTTTCTTTTTTCAGGAAACTTCAAACACAGCAGAGCAGGAACTGCGCAGAGAAGTTGAAGATCTGAAGCTTCGTCTGCAAATGGCTGCTGACCATTACAAGGAAAAATTCAAAGAATGTCAAAAACTTCAAAAACAAGTAAACAAATTTGCAGAACAGGCAGTAAGTAGAATGGGAGAAATTGCGCTTGCTTTCTGTAACTTTTTTGCAACTATTCTATTTCCTTCTGCAAAACCTGTTGCTTTTAAAAAGGTTTAAAACATGCAGAAAGCAGTGGCTCCTTAATTTACCATTTTCTTCTATAAAGCTCAATTACTTCTATGATTCTTTTTAGATAGTTGTTGAAACCAAGCACAGAATTTATAGTAAGTGGTGTATGTAGAAAGCCAGCAGAGTTTGGATGAACCTATAAGCACAACATGGTTCAAGGAAGAATTTTGAAGTTGCAACAGGGGAAATCCATAATTACCCAGAAGTGGAGGAAACGGAGAACTTGGAGAAGGATTTTGAAGTCAAATAGAGAGACAGTTTCCACAACCCAAGTTGTGTTCCATATGTATTTTGTATTCTTACTTTTCTTCTAACCTTTATTTCATAAAGGTATGAGGCTTTTTAGCGATAATGTGAGTCTTAGTCCACCTAATAACTGAACCTGTTAATGAATTTCAAACACTTGAGTGCAGAGTTCTTCAGAATTTTGTGAGAATTAGTGACTGAGTTGGAGAGGAGGTCAAAGGGAGGAAGGTATATGAGCAATGGCAAGATGTACAAATGTGAATTCTTAAGAAAACCGGACAAGTACTTCTGCTATCCACAGAACTAATAGGGTAGTAACCCAGCTTTGATCCACAGATTACTTCAAAAAGTTGTCTTCTCATCCAGAAGGTCAATGGTGAATGAGGTGTTGTATCAGAACACCTGTGGTTTTTCCTTAAAAAGCTACATAACCTTTGGCTATGTTGTACATCTGATAACAAACACCAGATTTCCTTGACACCAGAAGTCCAGCACTTGCTAGTAATAAAGACTCCATATTCTAGTGGAATATTAGTTTTAAGTTGATGAATTTCAGTGTAACTAACTGTCTAGAAAATGAGTTTTTTCTAATTTGCATAGAAATTACTGCTTCTCTTGAAAAAGAAACTTATAAAAGTAAGATTATAAAAATCATAGTGTAAGGCAATTTCATCATTAGTAGAATTTAATGTTTGCATATTTATTATCTCCTGTCTTAATAAGCAATTTGATGTAGTCCAGTTTTGGAGGAGATAGTGCAAGATATACATTACTTTGTGATCTGGCTTTCATTTAATTAAACACCAAAACAATTTCTTTTCACAAAGAAAATTGCAGGGCATCAGCAGAAACTGACAGATCCATCTAACATTGAGACAGCTACTGCCGTTGTTACAGACAAAAAGTTGTCTGCACCTCCAGGTATCAACAGCTTAAATTTTGTCTGTTTTATCAGTCTGAGAATGTCTGTGTGAAGTAGTCACTAATAGTATTTATAGCATAAAGTAGGTGGATTTGTTCTGTTTCAGATAAAGCAATGATTAGAAATGTGAAAATTAATCGGAAAATCTTGTGTCCTTATTGAAGTGGTGACATTCACAAATGTGTATCTTTTCAGAACAGTTCAGCTGATGTTTGTTAATGCCAGTAGGACTGAACTCTTCCATTTCTGATTGATAGTTAACACAAAGCCAGATTGCCAGGCCAATAATCAATTAAAAATCCTCTTCCAGTTTGCAGATGGTGTGCAATAGTGTGGTAATTTTACACGTGTGTTATAGTAACTATCCACTCCAGCATTCTACTGTAAAATCAAATCCATTGAAAAATTCTGGTTATACGATGGCAAGTCAAGACTATAAACTATTCTCATGATTTGTAGGCAGTAGTGACTTACTAGAAAATGTTTACCAAGGTTATGAGTTTTATGAACTATTAAGTTCTTAAACTAATCTTCTAATCTTCACTTACTGTTGGTGAGGTGCTTTGGGACTTAGTGGCTGACTTCATAGAGTTAGGTTAATGATTTGATTCGATGATCTTAAAGGTCTTTTCCAATCTAAATGACTCTGTGACTCTATGGACATAGAATAGGTTAAAACTAAGCCTGATTTATTTTTCAGTTCGAATTGATAAATGCCACTATACTAAATACTGCCTAATTTTGTTTGTGTTACTTCATAATTCACACGTTCTTTCTGGGTATAGAGACTACAGTTGTAATTCCTGTCAGGTTCCTCTTAACTAAATTAAATGTTTCCTAAACTAAAATCCCAGCAAGCTCAGTTATTATAAGTGATGGGGTTGAAGTAGATTGCTGAGGCATTCCATAGTTTTACAAAAGAACATCTACCATGTTACCCTAATGTCTGTATCCTAATGTTTACTTTCTTCAGAGCTAAGGGAGAGGTGTATGTGGGTTTTTTTGTGGTTTTTAATTTTTTTTCACACTTACCTTTGTAGTATGTGTGTGTATGTATTTATGTTCATCTTCAGTCTGTGAGGGAGCTGAACACATACATGCCCATAAGACTGCTGATCTTAACTGTCGCTAGCCACATGATACTGATTGTCTTGGATTAACCATTTGCCTGGATAACATGGAGCACTTTGTTCTCGATGCACTGTTGGATTCGGCCTGTCATCTCTCTCATACAAACTTTTTTGTTTTGTTGTCGTTATTCCATAAATACCGTTTTTTCTTCAGCGTTCACAGTTATTCCAATTTCATCTGACCTAGTTTCGGAATTCATGGTAAAGGAGCAAGTACGTGAAATGAATAAAGAAATTGCTGAGAAAACAGAGAAGTATAAGAAATGCAAGCAAATGTTGGCAGTAAGTAAATGGCTGCTTTAGAAAATTAAACAGAAAGTAGCTGTAGGTGCGAAGTCTAAACCACAAAGCAGACCCAGCTGAGTTACCTTGCTTGTTTGTGTGATACACTGTGGTTATGGTAGAAACCTTAATGTTAGAAAATACTCCGTGATTTAGCCAGCTTTCAGTTACCTGTGGAGTTAGCCCAGGCAAGGACCTCTTGGGAAAACCCAGGTGCAGTAAATTAAATGAACAAAACTGCTACTGCTTCTGTGCTTAAGGTTTTGAATACTTGCCCCTTCTCCATTGTATTTTAGATGTATTTACTTTTCTAAATAAAATACAGCAAGTTGCTATAAGCCAGCTGATGTCTGGAATGAGTGTAGCAGTGTTTATCTGCCATGCTATTCAAATGCAGTAAGTCATCCTCCTTTTACAGTGTTTTGATGTCTGATTGGGTGCTGCATACTAGCTTGGGCTCAGTCATACATAAAGGCACTTATATGATTCTCTGGAGCAAAGCTGGTACCAGTTGTGTTGTAGACATGATAGAAATGCCCTTCAGATATTAATCTGTCAATCTTAACTTGATTTTCATTCAACCAGTTTGGAGGTATGTATGATGATGGAGTATTGCATCAGTGATGCTGGTGAAAAGTTGGCTGTTGTAGAATGGCTTAAGAAATGCTTTCTGTCTGTTGTCTCTGCTCATCTTGTTTCTCTTATTTATCACAATGAGATTATGCTATTTTAATGTGCTCTCTGGGATGTAACAATTGGCCTGTAATTCTGCTCGTTACTCTGTCTGTGGAGAGCCTACGTTAGCTTCTGCTGGCTATTTCTTCTCTAGCAGTGCTTGAGGAATGCTTTGCCTTTGACCTTCTGGATGAAAGATACTTCAGTTGTAGAAGTTGCATTGGGAAGGGATAATGGTAATAAGTGTAGTATTGGGGTACAAAGAAACTCAGAACTGTGAAGTTAGAGAGGAGTATCAGCATGTTGAAAACTTGGGCAAGAAAAAGATATGTATGGAACATAACTGATGCAGTGTTGAGTTGTCCTGTCCTCTTCAAAGTCTTGAGGCAGGCTTGATTTCTCAGGGAAGCCATTTGTAAATGGTCTCATTCTAAAAGCATGGGGTTACACAGTGTCATTGTTGGGAGTTGGGGGGAAATCTATTAAAACTAAGTATTTCATGCCATGGTATAAAATGCTTTAGGACGAGAAGATGAAATGCAGTGTTTATGCTGATGAACTTGCTAAATTGGAGCTGAAGTGGAAAGAACAAATGAAAATCAATGAGAATATAAAATTACAGCTAGCAGCAATGGAGGATCAGTATAAAGTAAGTTACAGATTTTGTTTATGACAATGGTGTCCTGTTACTAATGTAGTCGCTCATTTCTAGTAGTTCAAATAAGAGTTTAATGGGGAAAAAATACTAATTTTTTTCTGTAAATAGAAATTGTGTTTTGCACTCGTAAAAGCAACATAATGCCTTTTTTAAAGTAAGACAGATTTAAGTATATTAACAAATGGCTTTTGTTCTTTTAATAGATTTGGACAAACTTATACATGACGTTAATCTTGTATTACAGGAGAAAAGGGCTAGAGCTGTACTTTCCTCTTGCTTTCTATAATACTAACAGGAATATTGATTGATAAATTTGTCTAAAATCTTCGTAATGCATGCTGCATTACCAGCTTAGTAATGTGTAATACATTTAATTTGAATTAACTAAAGAGGTACAAAATGAGTGATACAATGTTTTTAAAGTCATCATGAGAGAACTACTTCAAGTTGGAGGATCTCAGCTACTGCCTTACTAGATAGAGTGAGGCAACACATGCACCAGCAAGTCAAGCGCAATGGGCAGCTTTAGTTTACAAGAGTCCTTCATCTCTGAGGTTAGGTGATAGTAATGCATATGCTGAAGTGGCTTGTTAGGTCAACAAGGACAAGATAAGAGCAGCAAACTTCTGTAAGACCCTCTTTTATGCTTGTTCTCAGTCTCATGGTGATAGTGTAGCTGACAGGATGGAATACTCTGTTGCCCACTTATGTCCATTGTGATGAACAGGGACTAAACTGAGCTGTGACTATGTCAATTCCAGTACAAACCTCCTTCCATTGGGAGTTTAAGCAGTTTTTCTTTATAAAATACTGAATTATTCTACAGCTCGTTTCAGCACTCTGTAGGCTGTCCCTTTTCAGTATTTTTCAAAGCTCTAATTTCATAAAATGCATGTCTCTTTGAAATTTAATTTTACTGATTAGCAGTTTTCCATGCATGATTTAATGTAAAACAGGTTTGGTTTTAATTTCTCAACAGCAGGAGAAATAAATAATTGGTTCCAAAGTTGAAACCATTTTGACTGCAATTCAAAACTTGTTATCATTCAGGGAGAGTGCAGGTGGTGAAGTTAAAAAAAAAAAATGGTAAATTTTTCTCTGTTGACCTGAACTACGAGAGGGAATTTCAGAACTGAAAAAAACATGACATGTAACTGTGGAGAGCATTGAGCTTACATGCTAAAAAAAGAAGTGGAGAATTGTTCTCCAAAGTAACCAGAATCTAAATAAAATAGCCCTTTGTAGAGAAAGAGTATTTAAATAATAATTATATTGAAGCAAGGAAGACTTGTGTTAATGTGTCAGTTGCATCTCTTCGCAGAGCACCCAACAGAGACACAAGATAGATGTTTGTGAAGCTAATTTAGGGTCTTTGAGGTAGGAGATTTTGGTTCTCTCAGTTCTGTAGTGGGATATAAGAGCTGGAGAGAAGTGAATGAAATAAGTCACTGAAATGCCAACAGATTGCTTCAGAAATGGTGAGATGTGAGGCTTGCAAACTTTAGCTATTTCTGGTCAGTGGTGTCCTTCCTGCCATTAGTATCACTGATACTACTCCTCATTTTTTAGAGGAGTATTTTATCATTCCACAGTTGGCTTTTGAAAACTGATAAGAAGAGGCTGCTAATGTACTGCTGTTATCCAGTAGATAAACCTGGGGGGAACTGTTGGTTTTGATTTGTAGTAGTACTAGATACTGCATGTAGCTATAGTAGATAAAGTTATTTCCATCTGAAAGATGAACTTAATCACTGAACTTTGTTTTCACAAGATAACATGCAAAGAAATAGTTTCCATTTCCAGGAACCTTAAACTTCTTTTCATATAGGTTCAGCTGTCAGAAAAAGAGAGACGAATAAAGGAACTGGCATCACAGCTGGAACTCTTTACCAGTGAGAAGGTATTGTCAGGATTCCTAGTAAATTTTGTAAACTAACACTTGTGAGAGTCTTCAGTGTGAGGAATTGGTATTTATTTTTAGGCGTGAATTTGTTTACTCTTTAAACATACTTTTCCGTATTTGGATATTTTGCCAAAATTAGTTTGCATTTAAAAGTATAATTCTGTTAATAATACTAACATATTTTTAAAAAATATAAACTGTAGTACACCAACTTGCCAGAACATCTCAGATTTGAAAATATTGCCATTTATTGTCCTGTAATAGCGTTCTAGAATATTTTTTATATACAAACTAACAAAAAATGTTATGGTGTCAAAAATGAATTTTGTTTCTGTCTAGAATGAGATTCCATGCAGGATCTAAAATAATTATTCTTTTTTGCAAATAGAGATTAATCTGTGTAAATTAATAACCTGAGATTGCAGCTAGCTATGCAGTTCACAGAACATAGGAATTCCTACCAGTTTTTGTCCTGTCTTCCATTCTCACCTTAGCAGCATCACTGTTCTTGTTCAGGTTTTCAGGGGCCTTCCAGCCTCCTTCCTGGTTTACTCTTCTTACCTCTTAGTGAAAGAGATTTGAGCCCTGTTGTGTCTAGAGGCTGATGCCACCTTAGTGCACCTGCTGCTTGGCCAAAGGGAAAAGATGATTACTGAGCTTGTGCTGCAGCCTCTGTGTCCACTACAGGAACACCAGTTAACAAAACTTGCAGGAACTGAATTTCTTTGAGACAGACTCTGTCTTTCTTACTTTCAGGAATTATTGGTTGACAGGCAGCACAATTAGTAAACCTTTTTCCCTTTAGAATCCTGGAATAAGATGTGAGTGGTACATAGCTAGCTCGACATTTCATTTTTTTCATCACTGGTTAGGGTTATTTTCATATATGCTGCAAATGTCTACATTGCAGCAGCATAACGTCCAGATTTTCCATGATGTTTGTGTGCATACAACCAAATCCTTCTGACATCTGCAGTTCTCTTGTTGACTGCCTGTAATAATAAGAGCAACTTGACATGTGACAGTTGTGACTAATTGTCCTGGTTCCGTGTAAAAAG